GTCCTCTGGAAATCTTCTGTAATTGTTGTTGATTGCAGATCCGTCTAGTAGTTCCCATTGATTTTGCTTGTAAAGCGGGGAGAATGGCGCTAGGCTTACCGCACCGTGACGTCACTGCTGGAAGATGGCAGGAGGGAGGGGTTACTATATTTGGGCAAAAATGGCCGCTCCTAGACTCAGCGATTAACTCTAAATTCATTAAATCACTGCGAGCGTATTAGTTTTAGGTATAGATGGTCTTCTTCTTTAAAATCTGGGAGGAACCAGAGTTTTATTTTGAGGCGCTCCTCCATCATCCCGTTAAATCATCGTCCCTCCTTCAGATCAGCTGATTGCGATCAACTTCTCATTAACGGTGCTTAAAGTTTACAAAAGATTCACGCCGGTCCGTTTTATTACAGCCTTTGATGTTTCTGGTTCTGATCAGACGGATAATCTAAAATTAATTCTGCGTTTTTATGATAACAATTATGGAAAAAATGTAATCTAGATAAGTCATTTTTTCTTTAAATAAGTGCATTTGTTCTTGGGTTGAGGAGGTAAAATAGATTTTACATTGCATTGTCTTATTTCAAGTGCATTTTATCTAATTATCTTATTCTAAGAGTAAAATACTCATCCTATTGGTAAACTATCTCATATTAAGGGTAAATACTTAAGACGTTTTACTTATTTCTAGATGGTTTTCACAGTGCAGTCTCTCTCATCTAAAGCGAACTCCTCACCCATGGAGGTTGTCCTGCTTGGCTTCAGCACCTGTCCTCCTCGGCTGTGGGCGGGGCAGCTATATTTACCCCTCAGACCTTCTCCTCATAGCTGTTAATACCCCTCAGCCTGCCTGTAAATATGCTGGAGGCTATTTCTGGGCTGAAACCCAACACTGACGGCTGCAGGGCTGATACTCATTTGTTCTTGTCTTTGTGAAATCATTCATTTTTTATTATAGTAAACTGAAGCTAAATTTCACAGAAATGCCACAGACCCTCCTGCAGACAGACCCTGCTGAGCTGCGATCCTCCCCTTCTGAGGCTCTGAGGCCTGATCTTCACAATCAGAGACGGTGGCTGATTTATTCTGAAGCCACAGATTAGTCGCCCCCGAGCAGAGCGTCACCCTGACTCACCCGCTTTCCCTCAGCCCGAGGTGTTGGCGTCCTCTCCGGCAGCGGAGGGGAAGTCCCCTCCGTCGCCTCGTCACCGGATTACAGCAGCAGGTGGTGGAGGCCGGTCCATGTGCTTCACAGTAGGTCATCTGATCAGATTAGCCGCTGACCCGCTGCGCCTGACCGCAGAGAAACATGGATGTGATTCCAGCTCAGACCAAAAGCCCAGAGGAGAGAAACCCGATCAAACTAACGCAGAACAATTATTCAGATAAAGTTTATTTACTATTTGTTTACAAAATGAGATCAAATCATCATAGAAATTATTATTTCTATAGCTCCAATTCACATCATGTCATCTTAAAGGAAAATCAATTGATTGCATCATTTTGACGCCAAGGCAATCCCTCACACTAAGCATGCTTGTAGCGACAGTGGAGAGGAAAAACTCCCTTTNAAGCATGCTTGTAGCGACAGTGGAGAGGAAAAACTCCCTTTGAACAGGAAGAAACCTCCAGCAGAACCAGGCTCAGTGTGAGTGGCCATCTGCTGAGGCCCACTGGGGTTCAAGGAGACAGAAGCAGACATAGAAAAAGAAGCATAGATACAGAAATAACTTTTATATCTAGACTATTATAAACTAGATCAGAAAATGTGTGATTAATAAAGCCATCGGAGAACAAACTGTGAAAAAAAGGTGTTTAAATTTAAACTAAATGTTAAATAGATTTAAAAACTATACTATAAAGATCAAAGGAGGTCGAAGTTATGAAGAATTAAAACTAATTTGGTGAAAAAATTGTTTTAATTCCCAGCGTTGAATTTCTCTTTAAAAATTATTTTATTTTTTATTTTTTTTACTCAAATAGAGTCAATTAACAACACATGTCATCTCAAGACACTTTACAGTTTACCAGATTATTATTATTATCACCATTATTTCATAATTATATTTTAAAAGGTGGTCATAAAATATGTTTACGGAAGAGAATTAGGGCCAGTGGGAAAAAAAAAAAAATAGTTAACTGATTTTTAAATTTTATTTCAGTTCAGTACGGGAAAAAGGTCAGAATTCTGACTTTTTTCTCTGAATTCTGACTTTTTTCTCTGAATTCTGAGATTGAACTCAGAATTCTGAGAAAAAAGTCAGAATTCTGAGAAAAAAGTCAGAATTCTGACTTTTTTTATTGTCAGAATTCTAAAATTAAAGTCAAAATTCTGAGAAAAAAGTCAGAATTCTGAGATTAAAGTCAGAATTCTGAGATTAAAGTCAGAATTCTGAGATTAAAGTCAGAATTTTGACTTTTTTCCCCATACTATACTCAAATAAAATTAAAAAAAATCAGTTACCTATTTTTTCTTTCATTGGCTCTAATCCTCTTCCGTATGCTTTTACAAGCACAAGTCATTTTTCTTTTACAAATGGAATTCAATTCAGAAAAAAAAAAAAATCCCAAAAAGCAAAAGTGAAATTAGGATTTTCTGTATTTATTTCAAGAAGGCTTAAAACACTAAAAACAGACATGAAATGACTTTTTAAGGCAAACATTTAATAAAAAAAATAACGTTTTTTTTTAAATGGCTAATTTATGCCCTACGGTTAATAACCTTTAGCAGTTTTCTTTGTTGCGTTTCTCACCTGCTGCTGCTGAAAACCTCCTGAGGTCTGAAACGTACCTGAGCAGAATCAGAGTAACTCATCTCACCTGTGAGGCGATGCTGAGCTCTGATTGGTCAGAGATTCAGGGCTGATCTTTCCTAAACAATCATTAATGAAACTCAAACAACACTTGCTCTATAAACTCACTGCGTTATTATTGATAGTTTATTGTTTTTCCTTCATTTGATTCGTCTTATTCAGCTTTTCGTTCTATTAAACTCCTTTTTTTAAATCTTCTGAAAATAGTTGGATTTTAGGAGCAGAAAACAGAACATGAACTCTGGAAACCTCAGTTCTATTTCATCCCTACTGACCGCCAGGATTCATAGAACCGTACTTACAGTCGTAACTTTCGTTTCATCATAACTAAACACTTCAAGCTAAAAGTGGGGCCCAGAAGCCCTGACCTTTGACCTCACATACCATCATGTCATAATATCTGGTCCGACTCTTCTTTGTGACATAATCTACTACAAACTGAGTTAATTTGTTGTTTTTAAGCCCATTTTTAATAATTTTCCAATTCAGTTTAATTTCTGATTGATTAATTTGTTTTAATCAAATAAATCATCAGTGTTTAGTTTGGTTTGTATTTTTGTGGTAATTATAAGTCTTTGGCTTTTATTGCTAAAGTTCTGTCTCCATTCTAGATGTTTCTGTCTCTTTCTTTACCTCCAACATCAAATGTCTGCATTTAGTCCAGAAATAACAATGATGGATGGATGGATGGATGGATGGATGATGGATGGATGGATGGATGGATGGATGGATGGATGGATGGATGGATGGATGGATGGA